TGTGATAACTCGTGCTGATTATGACCTCATGATCAAGAGATACAACGAGCTTGGTATGCCAGAAGAAAACAAACAAGAATTATCTGACGCCATGTACGGAATGTGTGATTCCTTGGGTCTTACAGATTACAATAAGTCCTTGACTTACGATGAGATAGTGCAGTCTTGGATTGATAACGTGGAGAAGGGAGGTGGCTTTGGAACCGTTGTTTACGATAACATATTTCGAATTATTGATACAGATAGAAATGGAAGTATATCTTTGAAAGAGTGGGAAATTCATTTCATGGCTATTAACATCCCTGCGGAGCATGCTGAACCATCGTTTAAAGCGATTGACACCAATGGAGATGGAGTGATCTCTCATGATGAATTTGTAGCTTATCATTATGAATATTTTCATACTAATGAAGATAAACTACATAGTTCTATTTTGTATGGACCATTACCGAAAAATAAGGCACTGGAACGCCAAGAATTTTGACAATGCTAATGCTAAAATTTTTATTAACCTGCACTGTAGCATGAGAACAAACTAATATTCAGGTATATGCAAATGTGTTTTGGTAAAAATCAGAACTTCTTAATGGTTCTTAATTTACGTTGTCACAACCTGGTTAGTGGCCAGTATAGGCGCAATGTTTGGCCACTTAATAGTCGGCATTCACGCATAACTAAGAACTGCATGAGTCTTATCATCGCGTTATGGAGATTTTATACTGATTGGGCCCACTATATTCTGTTATCCAAAAGACTAATAGATCCGATGCTCAACTAGCAACAAAATCTAGTTAGTTATATTAATATTATAATATAGAATCAATGGTTTAAAGGCAAGCTGCATGTGCTACAAGCTGTAATCATTTATATGGCTTCTAGAAGCATAATTGCTGTGAATAAATTAAAAAAATTAATGTAGAACAATAGTTGCACGAGAACACTACGAGAGTTAATCACTCGCTAATATTGCAAGTATTCGATATTGTCATAAATTATTGGCTGTCAAACGTGAGGTCGTGAACGAGATTTGCGAGTTTTGCAACTCTCATCGCATAAATTCCCCACTACAAAGATTAGTTTTTACACCATAAATAAAACATTTCAACCTTCTAGAAGATCATGTGTCAATAAAGTATTACCATCCTTCATTGAACATTTGACAAGCGCAACAAATATGCAATCAGAAGCGTAGTGGAAAGAGCCTGGGTACGAAGTTGACGATAGTAGAGGTGTGCAAATCCGATCCGAATGGATTCGTTCGGATTTCGTAACAAAAATATTCATTTCGGATTGGATCGGATTGATAAAGTTGTTTCGTAGTCAGATCGGAGTTCACAACAATGCGTGTAGCCTTCATTTTGTTGGACAAAATGGTCCTACTGAAGAACATCCAGACCCTGTATCAGCAATAACTAGTACGGAAAATATAAGTAGTAATCCTAATCTCCGTCTAACATATAAAACGCAGCAGTAAAACGCGTACGATATGTAAAAGGTATTTATAAGCTGCTAGATTTTGCTTGTCATATTTTGACGAGTGATATATGAGATGATTAATCGTTTAAAATATTCATTTTAACTGAAAGGATCAGGCAGCTGAATATCGTTAACAATCAAACCGGCGGCTTAGATTTAATTACATGGCCTTGGGCTTCACTGACATGAAGAGCGATGGAAGACTCATTTCTTCGACGGCACAAGCAATAGCTATAGCTAAGCTAGGTAGGAGTCCGTGTTTGAGGTAACTGTTAATCGGCAGTAATTCCTCGATTTTGTAAGTACGCTTTGAGCTCCGGCAGCTTCATGGCTTTGAATTTCTCTTCTCGTGACATATTTTCCATTTTGACTATTGTTTCGTGACGAAAGCGAGCAAATTTATCTATTAAATGGCAGTGGCGGAAATCAGCCCCCTCCCCCCCCCCCTCCACCTTCGTGGAAAATGACGAATTTTCGGAAATTTTACCTATAAGAGGGCTAAAAACAGCCTTTTCGAGTGCAAATGGGGGGTTTGTCGGAAATTTGAAAGTTTTGTCGGAAATTTAGACGGCTTCGCCCCCCCCCCCCACCGGAAAAAGTGAATTTCCGCCACTGTATTTTGAATAGCATTTCATTACGCTCCGCCATGTTTGTCCGAGTTTCCGATTTCTCGAGCACGTGTTTCCACTTAACACAAAACCGCCAAAGTGGTCCATTCAAATTGTCGGATTAAAAACGTCCAATCCGAGCTCCCAACTTGCAGTTTCGGTGACTGCCTCAACAGAATTTATTATACTTTTTTGTGAAAACACCACGTGAATGTTTACGTGGTGTTTCCACAAACAAAAAGAATTACATGTTTTATCGCCATGCAAACCTACAAAGAACTTAGAATTTATTACATTCCCTTCTCTGCAACAATGGGAATAATTTGGTTTGGACCTTTAAAGAACTTAAAGTAAAGCTACGGAGCAAATTGATTGCGAAAATGTTAACCAGGGGCGCAAATGCAATTTTTTTCACGGGGGTGTGCGCACAAAGACCGATTTTTTTTCACGAGGGACCGACTTCGCGGCTCGTGCAAACTACATAATTATTATTACGATCTTATAGAATAAATAGTAACGCGGTCATTTTTCAATTCTTGTAATTTTAATGTATACAACAACTACAACAACAGAATATCCTTAGCTGACTCTCTTCAATATAATACTCTATTTATAGCAGTAGGACATTGGTTCTGTTATTCGGACTGGTAATCGGTGATGTCCGTGGACCGTACAACAATATTTACTAGGTTTAATTAGGCTTCCACTTTTCGGCAAATTTTGCCATTTCGTAACGATTGTGCTTCAAGGTCAATCTGATCAGTCAAGTCTTTTTCGCAATTAGCCAATGTAATTCAATTCTGAAGCTACTATGGTGAGAGTTTTAATTAATTTGAGCTTTGAGAAGCTTCGCTCGTTCGAAGCTGATGTTACAGGAGCTGTGAGAACAAGTTTCAATTAGCACCGTGCGCAATGTGAGTGGAAACAGTTCTTTGAATTCCGAACAATAATTCAAAGCATCGTTAATGTAGCAATGCCTTGTTTTGACGCCAAACAATGATTCCGAAAAACTTGTAATTCAACTTCAAGTGAAGCTTCGTCCAGTTTGGCATTGGGTGGAAACAAGTCAATCAGCGACAACATATCTCTGGAAATAATTATACTTTTAGGAAACAGCGGGCTCTATGATCTTAAAGGCCACTTTCAAGTTATCTTCAAGCAATAATATTTGGGCGTGAAGTACTGCAGGCACTCTTTTCTGTAAAAGTTTTGCAACCCAAAATGAACAGCGTTTTCAGGCGTATCATCAATTCTGCGTGGTGCCACCCTCTTCCTGTGGTGCTTAGCAAACTCTGATTCAGCATTGACGCCATGTTGAGCACTAAACGCAACAGCAGCTTCTATTTGAAGTTTAGGTTTTCTTCCAAAGCCCCCTCTATATCTTTTAATCCTTTATCCTGACGAAAAGGTTGCACGGAAAATGTTTTTGACAAGTCGGGCACAATGGGAAAAAGTCGGGCAAAATTTGCCCCCTATTTTGTTTTCTTCCCGTGCACCTATGCCTCGTGTGTAGCTATAACTGCTCGCAATTGGTTCCGACAAAATAGCACGCATTCAAAATATAGTAAATGCTATTTTGAGATGTTTCGGTCGAACTATAATTTCCGTAATGTTCCATACAAATCGGTGATTTAAGCATAGCCTCCCATCGCGCCCTTTGGACTGCGCATAAAACGGCCTCTGGATTTGGTTTGGGACCGACTTTATAATAACTATCAGGACCGAATGTTTAAATATTGGGGGTGCCACCCCCCCCCCCCCC